GTTAATAACAAATTTTGACCACTTAAAAATAATTGAACTTCAACTCAAAGAACCCCCCGGCATGATGGGCTGGCTGGGGAATTCTGGGAGTTGAAGTCCACTCATCTTAAAGTGGCCAAGTTTGGACAACACTGGTTTAGATAAACAGAAAACACAGTAGCACATTAAACACTCCTTGCTGGGCAACCTTATGCTGCACATTTTTTGCAGGAGTTCCACCATAAGTCCTTCCACCTGATTCCTAAGGAGTGCTGACCTAAGACATTAGTGGAATAGGAAATAATGCACTGCCTAAATTGTAATGCATAGTACTAAAGGCCGTAGGTATTATTTTGGCACCAGGAGAAAGAAAGAAAAAGAAAACTCAAAAAAGCCTTTCACCTTGCTTTGCAATAAAATACAGTGATAATAGACTAAGTATCTAACAATATTGTGCTCTTTCATTATCTTCCTACAGTATATGGTGCCTAAGATACCTCAATCTGCCCTGCTCCCTGGTAAATATGCATAGGATATTAGTATCAAGCTATTGAAATTAGCAGGATCTAATAATCTGTTAGAGTGTAAGATTACAGCAAATTAGAGTAGCCACTAATACATTTTTAAAAAGAGGAAATGAATCAAACCCCAAATGAGATCACATGGCCAAATGTTTTCATAATACATGTGCATCTTTATTAGATCTGTGCAAAATATGTGTGATCTACTTTGGCCCTTGGCTTCAGAAGTGTTTCACTTAAAATGGCAAGGGACTTCTGCTCATATTCTGCATACATGCAGAAGACCACTGACAGGCCAGAAAAGCATCTGAAACAAAGCAGTTGAAATGAAATGGTGTGTGGCTGGTCCAGTCCAATAAGTAGCAGTGTGATACTATATCACTTTGGCTATCTGCTTTGATAGGGTGATTCAGCTGAATTATTTTCAGCTGAATCATACAATTTAAGCTTTGCACAGACCTAGTATTTATAACATAATGCATACTGATAAAGTTATGCACATTAAAATAAAAATGTGCTGTGTGCTAATAAATATATTTATAGAAATATGGGTCACTCTATATGTACTGATAAGAAATGTATTTTAAGAAACAATCTTGAGGAAGGAAGTAACATCTGACAATTTGTTTGCATTAGCAAAGCATCAGAACAGACATTGTGCGATGACAAAGATTTGAGCATGTATCTTTACAGAATTGTGAAAAATGTTGTTAATATAATTGCAATATTTGTAGATACAGTGGCATTGAAATGGCTTACAGAAATATTGAGTTGTAAAAAAGTGAAGGAGCATTGCAAAAATGAAGCAGAACACATCCCATTGTAGCTTCCAGATTTGCTACATACAGTATTTAATAGATGAGGGTATTAAAAGATGTGCTGTTTTCTTTTTGCCTCCCAAGTAGAACAGCAGCAGGGCTAAATTGGGAGAAGAGATGAAGTGGCACCTGGACAAGAGGCAGCAATTTTAGCTTAAAAGAGAATTCTATCAGAAGGTGAACATTAGTGAGAGGGAAGAACCAAATTTCTGTTTGCAAGTGGCTCCATAAATCCTCTTGGCATCCTTGGACCATGAGAAACATTGGTTCTTAGGACTCATCTGCTACATCTTGGCATTGTATATGATTTACTGGCATATGATTATGTCCTGTATCTCTTTTTTCCCCTTTAAAAAGATTGTGTTTTTTTAATAAATAAATAAACAAACAAACAATTCCTACCTCAAGAGAGATCTGAAAGGGATAGAACCCTAAAGCCCATTATAACTGACTGTCAACCTGATCTTTTACCTCTTCTCATATTTGCCTTTCTTCATTCTATATTGTTTTAAAAACTATCAGAAACTCTAAGATGGGAAACTAAAAGCTTAAAATAAAGAGCATGCACTGGAATAAATAGAGATAAATAAATAAATGCTACAGTCCAAGATACTGTGAGGGTTAGAAGGAGGGCGGAGAAGATATCTGCAGATCCCCCTCATCGTGGACATAAAGTGTTTGAACTTCTTCCCTCAGGATGGCGCTACAGAGCACCATATGTTAAAACATCTAGACACCGGAA